AACCTAGCGGTGGAAGGGGCGGAGGCGGCGCAAAGGGCGCGCTCTGGCATCACGTGACCGGGACGCGCTGTTCTTCCGTCGGCCATTTTAGGTGGTCCGCGGCGGCGCCATTAAAGCTAGGAGGAGGCGAGAGTGGCCGCCGCTGCTACTTATTCTTTTTTAGGGCAGCCGGGGAGAGTGGGAGTGCGCGCCGCGCGAGAGTGGGAGGCGAGGGGGGCAGGCCGGGGAGAGGCGCAGGAGCTTTTGCAGCCACGCGCGCGCCTTCTGTCTTGTGCCTCGCGAGCTAGAGCGGGCGCGCGGCAGCGGCGGCGGGGATTACTTTGCTGCTAGTTTCGGTTCGCGGCAGCGGCGGGTGTCGTCTCGGCGGCGGCAGTAGCACTATGTCGGAGGAGCAGTTCGGCGGGGACGGGGCGGCGGCGGCGGCAACGGCGGTAGGCGGCTCGGCGGGCGAGCAGGAGGGAGCCGCGGTGGCGGCGCCGGGGGCAGCGGCGGCGGCTGGAAGCGGGAGCGGCGGCGGCTCAGCGGCCGGAGGCACCGAAGGAGGCAGCGCCGAGGCGGAGGGGGCGAAGATCGACGCCAGTAAGAACGAGGAGGACGAAGGGTGAGTAAGGGGAGGCCCCGGGCAGCCGCTCGCCAGGCCCCCTCCCCCTCCCCGTCTTTAGGCCTGGCTCCCGCGCCCGGCCTCCCGCCCGCAGGCCCGACTGCAGCCGGCTCGCTCGGCCTCCCGTCCGCAGCGGGCTCCCAGGGCCTGCATTTCCTCTTTCCCGGCCTGCTCGCCCCCTCCCCCATCACACACGTTACCACCTTTAGCCGTCACCATGCTGCTCCGCGGCCCGCCCTCTTTCCTCCCTCGCCGTGGGTCTCCTCCCACCGACTTAGCCGCCAGGATTTTTTCCCGCCTGACGGAGGTCCCTTCCCCCCCTCCCCGCCCTCCTCCTCTTCCCGGTTTTCTAACGTCCTAGGCTTAAAAATGCAAACGCACAGAAAGCTATGGTCCAGGGCTGCTGAGGTTGGTCTGATCGGGTGCTTCTCCACCACCCCGGGACGGTGTATGAGCTCTTGCTTTGGGCACGGTGTAGGCTGTCCACCTCTATCTCCCGCGTCGGGTTCAGGCCCAATGGTTTTTAGCATTTTCAGTAAGTTTCGCCTTACAATTCGTTCGTTCTTTGCACTCTACGCCGTCACCACGGCACGCTGCTACAGGCCCTGCATTTGTACTCCAGCAGATCGGGCCTGCCGATGCCCGGTCTCCTGTGGCGTGGCTCCGGCTCCGCGAGCTCTCTCTAAGTTCCTTCCCGGGCTGCGGGGCCTGCCGGGACCGGAGCTGCTCTACCTCCGGCCTGTGGCCGCCCTTCCCCCATCCTGCAGAGTTATTCTAGCCGCTCACGCTTTTCGCGCCCTCAGCGGTGGGGTAGCCTGTTTGTACAGATAGTAGCCCTACCTTACTACTCTGTGCAACTTCATTTTTTGCATCTCTCCCGCCTTTTCGGTGCCCAGGAGCCTGTTTTGGTTTCTTCTCATTCTCGCCCTCCTATTGAAAGGGAGCCCACCCGCCCTTTATACAGTGTTGTGCAACGGGTTACATTTTTTTTTTCCAGGATTTTTGAATACTAACTTGTTTCCCTTCCTCTAATTGAAGTACCTTGTAGATTGCCACCTAAACCTGCTTTTACTACATTAAAATGCAGCCTTTGGGAGCTGAGAGCATCATACAGGAGTTAGGAAGAGGGGCTCAATCCGGGTTCTTAGTTGGGTTTTCTTGTTCCCATTACTGATTGCTGATCTTGCTACCGTCTCCATACTTTTTAAAACGGGTCTGTGCGTGTGCAATTTTTCCACTATAACTAGGAAAAAGGTTTTGGTGAAAATTAAGTGTCACTTTAATCCAGTGTGAGAAAACGTGCATTTTACTGGTTAAGAGCATAAGATTTGTAGGGATATTGGGGCGGCGGAGAAGCACTTTGGAATACATGAAAATCAGCTCAGGCTGACTTCTCAGTCTGTTACTGGTTGTACTGGCTTGGGGGGGGGTTGGAGGTGGGAGGGGATGTGAACTTAAACAGAACGAATCTTGAACTAAGTATGACTTAATTTGAGAAAGGAAAAGTTAAATTTGAAAGTTTTCAACATTTTGGTTTTTGCTTTCTGAAATCTGTTCTTTGGACAGACCCACCAAAATGGTTAATTGTGTAACTGGGGCAGGCTTTCTATTACTTATTCCTGAGTTTTGAAGTTACAAAGTAGCTGTCTTTGTAGTTGATCTGTTGAACTGAAGTGTAAATGAATTAGTTTTTAACCCTAACAATGTCAAAAACTAAGACTAGAATTTTGATTGGTTGCTGTACCGGTTGTTAATTCCCTAGCCATTCAAACTCCTCCCCACGACACACTGAAGCAGCGACGGCACAGCGGGAAGAATGGTAAAACTTTTACATTTTATTTTTGTCTTAAGATTTCAATAGTCATAACATGGAGAGGCTTTGTAACTTAGTTGCCCATTGAGTCCCAGGAAATTCTAGACATTAATACAGTAGGATGTCTTGTGCCTGGGATATAAAACCTTTCTAGATATCATCAATCTATGGGCAAAATTGATGCCATTACATTGGTATTTGATCTGTGGTAATGCATGTGATTATAATTTGGCCAACCTAAGCTAAATGTAGTTAGTAATGTTGATTTTATATATATATATATATACATATATATGGACAAGAAGAAAGTTACTGTAATTTCACTTTTTTTGTTAGGATGGAGAATTTTTTAAATTGAAATTCTAAGCTTAATGCTACATATAAAGGTTCTAAGCTTAATGCTACATATAAAGGTTACTTGATATACTGTGTTAAATGTCTTGCATGTTATACTGAAGTGTTCTATCAAAAATAGACAGTTTTTATAAGTATTACTGTGCTTTAATGCAAAATCCTATATCTTCAATAAAATAAATACACGATAAACATTGTATATGTAATATTCATAGGTGGGCTAACGTGGCTTTCCACTGCAGCTCTTATCAGATTTTTTATTTTCAGTGTGATTTGGCTGGAATGTTAATTACAGTTGGTTGACATGTGTTCACATTTGCATGACTTCCCTTTGGAGGCTGGTAGGTTGAGTATTGTTCTTTTTATTCCACTTTCCCCCTCCCCTAAATGTCAGTCTTTCTGCCTTTAGGATCATATTTTAATTTTCCTGAGGCCGTATCCGCTACCATTGGAGATTAGAAAGTCAGTAAATTGCATTATCTGCCTGTACAAACTACATTCTGTATTAAACCCATATGGGTTAATATTTAAATTTTATATGAGGTTTACTTAGGAACTGTGTTCCCATCCACTGATATTTGTCTGGTTTTAAGTTGGAGACAAAGTAGACTGACAGGAAAAAGCAAAATATTAAGACTGGGGTCAGAGTTTGCCATAGTAAATAGTAATGTTTAGATGAACATTCTGTTTTGTGCCTAATGAGAACAGATAATTAACTAGTAGTACAAAATTAAAATTAAACTATTTGACTTCTGTTTTGAACCTTATGTAATTGTTTGCAGTAGGTTGAAGTGACCATATTTTAGATTTGAAGCCCAGTGTTCTGTTAAAAGAATTATCTTTTTCTGTGGGTTTTTTTTTTTAATTAAAAAAAATACTTATTTTTATTTTATGTGTATGAGTGTATTACCTGATGTGTGCAATGCTGGAGGAGCTCAGAAAGAAGGCATTGGCTCTCCTGGGACTGGAGTTAAGGACAGTGTTAGCCGCCATGTGGGTACTGGGAATTAAATCCAGGTCCTCTGTAAGAGTTTTCAGTGGTTACTGAGCCATCTCTCTAGCCCTTGTCCCTTTGTTTTAAGATCATACTATTTTATAGTTTTTTGGGGGTGGGAGATCAGCTTTTGGGGAAAATTGGTAACTAATGTAATCTCAGTCCACTGATAGGTTGTACTGAGGTAGCAGATTTTACTTAAGTAGATTTGCACTTACAAGTCAGTTTGCACTTCACAAGGTGGTATTTATTACCCTTGACATCTGTCTTTTGTTTGGTTTGGTTTTAAGATAGTTTTACTTTGTTGAGGCTGTGTCCTCTTTTCCTCAGCCTTCCTAGTCTCTGGGACTATGCAGGTGTGTGCCATCTTATGGCTAGATAGCCCTTGCTCTTTCTCTCCCAATCTCAGGTAACCATTCACTCAACCTCATTTTGTTGCAGATGCTAAACTTTTTAAAATAAGACCCTGGAGAACTTTAAACCTGTTTTTTTGTGTGTGTTTGTCTGGCACCAGATTAACCTCAGTAGTGAAGTTGAGACTGGTTAGTAGACTGAAACTCATGTGAATTAAATTAATTTCTTAAACACTTCTTCGTGGCGTTCCTTGTGAGATTACAATTTCATCTTTAAGTACTCTTTTTTTTTTTAGACAGTTATATAGCCCAGGCTGGCCTTGATCTAATATTTCTGCCTCTACCTCTCAAGTGTTGGGGACTGTAGGTATATGCTAACATGCCTAGTTTTCATCTTAAATTAGTTTAGAAGTGAATTTGTTACTGGCTTTTACTTTTTTTCCTTTTTGTGTGTGAAAAGGAGCAGCTTTGGAAGAGCAGCTTTGTTAAATACAAAAGGTTGAGTTTAGGAACAACAGTTCATTTCTATAGTAAAATGGCTACCTGAATTCACCTTAGATTTTTTATTTTTTTTTGTCCTTTTGAGACAGTCTCCCTGTAGACCAGGCTGACCTGGAACTCAGAGAGCTGCCTGCCTCTGCCTCCCAAGTCCTGGGATTAAAGGTGTTTGCCACCACGCCCTGCTAGGTTTTTTTTAGGTTACATTTTTATGTGTGTTTTGCCTGCATGTATATGCGTGTGCAGTGCCCATGGAGGTCAGAAGAGGGTGTTAGATCCCCTGAAACTGGAGTTACATACAAGTTGTTAGCCACCGTGTGGATGCCGGGAACCAAATCTGGGTCCTCTGCAAGAGCAGCCAGTAATCTTAGTTGCTGAGCCATCTCTCCAGCCCCACTTCTGTGTCAGTGGAGATCAGAGGATAATTTGTGAGACTATTCTCTCCTTCTACCATGTGGGGTCCCTGGGATCAAACTCTGTCATCAGGCTTGGCAGCAAGCTTCCTTACCTGCTGAACTATCTTGCTTGCTGACCCCTTTAATATTATTTACAATAATAAAGATTCCCCCCTTTTTTGAACATAAGAAATTGCACTGGAATTTCCCATTTTTGCTTTGTTGAATGGTCACTGTTTCTACAGTGTTTCAGTTTTTCCTGGGTAGGTAGTATCTTCTGAAATACATATATTATGTTCTAAGCTATGTGAGACAGTTTTTAAATTTCAATAATGGAAAACAGGATACTATATTAGCTTTCAGACCACCAGGTTAGATACATTGTGTTTTTTGTTCTTTTCTTTTCCTGTATTGTGTTGTGAGGGAAGTATAATAGTCTCATTCAGGTATCAAGTATAGCAACACTGTGTCTCATGAAAGAACAGGAGTAGATTTGGCCTAAAACCGTTGGTGTATAACTAAGTTTGGAATTAGAGAATATCACTGAAATTTTTTAGTACTTTTTTTTTTTTTTTTTTGGAGAGATGATCTTT